CTGGAAAGCGAGAGACAACAAGTTTTCTCAAATCTCCAGTGCTTTCTGCAATATTCTGATCAACTTTTGCACTGCTGTTGTCTGAATAATCTTCATTCTTCTCCGATCACTATTTCTTCAATTTTTTCCTTGCAAAAAACCTTAGAACCAATTTTCCAAGGATACAACATTATTATTATTATTATTATTATTATTATTTTCTTGGTTAATGGAAAGCTAATCTGCAAGTAGCTGACACTGCCGATATGAACCTCACTAAAAAATGAAAAATTTATCTTACAGTTGTTAAAATGTTTCTTTTTTTTTTACGATATAAAATATTATGGATCATTTTGTAAATTATTGATCGTGATGGATTGTGGATGTAAAAAACAATCGTGCAAACCTCATCGACGAAAAATCATAGTCAGAAAAAATTTAGAACTTGAACAAAATTCTATATTACTTCCTCCTTCTCCCTCCCTTCCACCAATCTCACTCAGTAACACTCTACCTTGACTGACTCTTTTTTATTGGCTGTTTAATATTTATTGATTTAATTTTATATTCTCATCATGCCTTGAATATTAAGAATAACACAATGAGAATATTCTCAAATGTTAGTTTTGTATGCTATTACTGTAAAGAATGATTTGGTTAAGATATGTGATGTCAATTCTGGATAATAAAAATTGGCCCTTTTTTTATTTATGGGCAGCGAAAAGTCTCGTTAAAACTGCAATAATTTCACGAAATTCATCGAATGTTATTGAACTGAAATCAAAAATCGATTCTTTAAATATAAATAAATTGGAATTTATATACGTTTTCCCCCTTTTTAAGACTTACAAGCACGTCACGTTGAAACATCGGCCCTCGTTCGATCACTGGAATTAAGCAATCTCTAGCCTGGTCAGTACCTAGATGAATGACTGATTGGGAATATCAGGTGATGTTACTTAGACGTGCTGGTGGTGTAATGGCTAACAACTCTGAATTGGAAATAGGAGTACCGAGTTTCAAATTCCGGTCGGGCACGTTATATTTACTTAAGCGCAAATACCATTGGGAAAGCTATGTATCCAACTCTCCATCAACCATGGGTTAATTAGCGGAACTTTTATCAGTAAATCATTTTTATCACCCCAAAATTCTTACATTCTAAAAATATATCCTGGTTTTAAATAGGTTGATAAGCCGTAAAAAGCAAATCAATCAATCCTACATTAATCTAAAATGTTTTATTTTTTATATCTACATTTTTATTAGTTTTAAATATTTTAAAGTTGTTAGACCGATATCAACATGTTATACAAATATGTTTTACTGAAATCAACTGAGAAAGTTTTTTCTGCTGAATTTTTTATTACATTTTTCAAGTTTCGCTGATCTACATCAAATTTGTTCTTTCCAAATGATATGAATTTGATCATATATTTGTTTGACAACATATATGCAAAGTAGAAAACTGCAACAAAAATTAAACAAACAGAAGCCAATCCATTATATATATATATATATATATATATATATATATATATATATATATATATATATATATGTGTGTGTGTGTGTGTGTGTGTGTGTATAAAAGGAAAGTATTGGTATAAGCAGCACAAAGCCAGCCAAGACAATTG